CATAATAATGTTATAAATTGTAATGCCCCATCTTGAAAAAAAAAATGAAGGCAAAAACAACAATGACTTAAGCGAGAAGAAACCTAATTTCTCTCCAGTGTAAGAGACATTAGAGATTTATAGTCCAAGCAGTTTAGCAGCCACATCCTTATTCAAGGTCCGGCCTCCATTCTGTTCTTTGCTCCGCCATCCCTCTGCCACATGGCACAATATGGCTTCCAGAGCTCCAGCCATTACCTCAAATCCATGTTGCACACAACACTTCTATATTTGATTCCTTTGCCAAGACTTAGAGACGTGGCCATCTGTTGCTGCCAAGGAAGCAGGTATGTAGTCTTTTGTCTGTGCTTAGTTATCACTGGGGCCTTCCTATAAGGCCAGAAGGAGAGGAGGTATTTGGGAAGCAGCTAGCAGACTCTTACTCTCTGAACCTGCGAACAAATGATGGCAGGTAGCAAACCTGGTAATCTCCTGAACCTTTAAGCATTAAACCATTCAAATACTTTTAAATTAAATTCTCACTTTTACTTCTTTTCAATAGGATATAGTTATGTGATGGTTTTAAGTTGTAAATCAAACTCTTCATAGGACAGAAGATAATCATTTTATTAAAATGGTATTTGTGTCAATTTTTCAATTCATATCTTAATGTCCTTGGCGAAGAGAAAGTGAAAGGATAATTTATATTTTGTTAATGAACAAGCAATGAGACCTGAATAAGTTTGGTAACGTCTTCTCTTATGTTTATACTTAGAAATCAGTTTCTCTTTTTTAGGACCACTGTGCATTTCAACTGTGTATGTCAGGTCAAGAACAAATCCTTGAACTGAGCCAGTCTAGATTCCCATGGGGTTAAATTTAGGTTCTATTCAGTCGTAGGAAAACCAGTCCTAACCAACCACCCTACAAATTTAAATTGGATTGAAGGAGAAGGATCTTGAGAGGTTGATATGAATGAAATCCCCAGTTTCCTCTACATCTCGGGTACCTTAGAGCTTCATATTTTGGTTTGGAATGGATACACTCTGAGCTCAGAAGGTGTCCTGGGGCTATCCTGGTATGCACCAGAAATCTAGAAAAATCCAGGGTTCTATGAGCCACTTAAGACATAAGCAAGGAGCATGTTTTCCACATGCCATCTCATTAAGTCAAGGTACACAGGGTAACCCTTAGCTTGAGAGGTTGAGCAGTATAGATTCTGACAAGAGGGGGTCTTTTTTTTTTTTTTCATTTGTGGGCAAACATCATATTTTTGCTGCCACAGGAATCTCACTTGAGCAACCAAATTTCAGCATCCAGTTCCATCCTTATAGCCGTGTCTCCCCCACCTACACTGAGAACCAGCTTTGGTTACTTGTCATTTCAAGAGACTAATTGAATATTAGCTTCATTTGGCAGCAGACAAACTCAGAGTTCCCAGCGAACACCAATTTTAATGAAATTTGAATAAAGAAAAAGGAACACAGGAAGGTTAAATTTCTCTGTGATGCTGGACACATCTAGTTCCGTTAGCCTGAGGATCACGGGGCACTCTATGGGGTGATCATTCTTGCTTTTCCATGACTCGATCTTTTACTCAGTAGAGGTGGCAGTAAATTTGACTAAGATTTAAGAAATTTGGATTATAATTCCAATTCTACCACCTAGCAATATTCCTTGGGCAAATTTACTTAAGTCTGTTTCCTATTCTAAAAAACTTGAAGGTTGGATTACATAATCTGCAATCATTTCAGTTAAAGAATTCTATGATTTCAAGTAATTTGGGACATTAGATGAGAGGAAAGTGTTTCAAAATTTCCACATTTAGAAGAGACAATTTTTTCTTTAAAGAAAACAGATGTGACACTGTATGCAACATGGATTTTGTTAATCTCATTTGTAAATCTCCATTAAGTAACAGCTATCATTTGTTGATCTCCAAGGTAGTATTTTTCATTGCAAACAGCAACATAAATTGAAATTTTGGATCATCAAAGAAAATCTTTTCAAAGGATTTCATGAGCACACAGCTGAAGAAATGTGATTATTTATCTAGTGTTTTCCTTAATTTTATAAACACTAATATCTTTGCTGCTACATCAGAAAATTGTTGGAAGTGAAAAGGAAAATACACTCACTGAGAATGAACAATATTTTTTTAATAGGAAGTAAAATCTGAGAAGCTTGGAATAATGTTAAAAAAAAAAAAAACACTGGCTCACGAAACAGCAATTTTTGCATTGAATTGCAAAACAGTTCGCCTCATGAACTCTTTCTTGCATGAGTAGGTCTATGTAAACACATACCAGTGGACCGAGAGAGAAGTATATAGTAGTTTCCTTGATAGGAAGATAAGGATAAAAAACACTCGATTGAAGTTTATGAAAGATTTTGTAGGTCAAAACTGGTTGAATGTTGGTGATTTCATATCATGTGGCCAAATAGTTCTTTCTATATGTGGGTATCAAGTACCAATTCTACCTGAATGGTGCAAGGATGCGAAAGATGCAGAAATATGATTATCCTTAGTAATAAATATTACATCCTTAGGAATGACACTGTGGCAGGTGTCAGGCTGGTCACTGCTGAAGAGGAACCCCAAAGCAGGAAAATGTCAAAGGGACCAGAGGCCATGCTAGTGGGGGTGGAGGAATAAGGAAGCAAGCGGATGAGGCCATGAGGGAGTACACAAGTGGCTTAGAGAACTGTCTAATTTGCATCTGGTTGCACCAAAATTATCCTTATCCTAGGCATGTCAGGGAGAGGACAAAAGTGCAACCTTAACTGTGTTGTGTTTGGGAAATAACACCTAGGAATCCTCTCCCCAGGAGAGTGCAGTACAAAGCCCAGAGATGACTGATTGACAAGCAGTCAATGACACCACTCTTCCCTGCTTCTCCAGCGTCCTGCAGCTCTGTCCCTAGTGCTTGCCCCAGCCGTTGCCAAGGTACATTCCTTAGGACTTACTCCCTACGTTTTCATTTCCTTTCTCCCACTTCTAAGGGTGCTTTCCTATTTATGTAATTTCATCTTACCCTCTGCTCCCTTGAGAGCACTCTTACCTTAATTTCTCTTCATTCCTGTGGGTACTGCACGTCTGTTCTGATTAATTTCACCCCTGTACTATTCCATTTAATAACCTATAAGCATTCTATTAAGATCTTTAAATGCTTCCTCCCATGTAAATGTTCTCAGTCTTCTTCTTTTTTTTATTTCAGCATATTATGGGGGTGCAAATGTTAAGGTTACGTATATTGCCCATGCCCCCCCCACCTCGAGTAGGAGCTTCAAGCGTGACCATCCTCCAAACGTTGCACATCTCACTCATTATGTTTGTATATACCCATCCCCTCTTCCCCCCTCCCACCTGGCCGACACTTGATAAATGTTATTCCTATATGTCCACTTAGGTGTTGATCTGATTAACACCAATTTTCTAGTGAGTACATGTGGTGCTTGTTTTTCCATTCTTGGGATACTTCACTTAATAGAATGAGTTCCAGCTCTATCCAGGAAAATACAAGAGGTGCTATACCACCATTGTTTCTTAAAGCTGAATAGTACTCCATGGTATACATATACCACATTTTATTAATCCACTCATGTATTGATGGACACTTGGGTTGTTTCCACACCTTTGCAATTGTGAATTGTGCTGCTATAAACATTCGAGTGCAGGTGTCTTTTTCATGAAGTGACTTTTGATCTTTTGGGTAGGTGCCCAGTAGTGGAATTGCTGGATCAAATGGTAGATCTACTTGTATCACTTTAAGGTATCTCCATATTGCTTTGGGTATCTTGTGTAGTCCAACAAGATTGTAAATTGTTTGAAAGTGGAGACTTAATGTTCTCAAGAAAGCCTGATATAGAAAACTGGGCTCAGAGAAGAAGAGATAATATGTGCAAAAGTGCACATATTATTTTTAGTGAATAGAATGATGCCTCACCTGTCCAAGTCTCAGGTATTTGGAAACCTCAAGTTTCTGGGTGCATAACTAATAGACACAATAAACTGATAAAACAGTACTGTGAAAGTCTGAGAAATAAGTGTCATGGGACCTAAACACTAATATTCTCGGATGTTTCACCTGTGATGCTGAATCCAAATCCATTTCTGCTTACTGTGTGTAGAAATCTGACAAATGTGAATGACTGGTTCCTAAGGTGGATTGGAAGCAGCCAGTGGGTCAAAGTAAGTAGTGCTGCAACAAGAGGGTAGATATGGGTATATATACAAAGACCCAACATCTGAAGTAAGGACAGAAAAATGAAAATAAAAGAATATCAGAATCAGATATGATATTTCAAAAGAACAATTTTTGGTGCATTAGTGTAGAGACAAATGGTCATTTTTATATTGATTCTGGGCTATACTACAATTCAGAAAATAATTATTTTCATACTGAACATATTGCCAACAAAAGTTAGAAGTAAGTAGTTTTTAAAATGAGTGCCAAAACATTGAATTTAGTTAGGAAAAAATCCTATCCAAAGGTTATTTACTTACTTAATTCTTTAAGTTTTAGGGCTGAAAGTGATGATGGTCAGCTGTTCAGAAATTCAGCTTTCAGATTAATTTATTCTACAAGGATTCCAGATATCTGAAATTCTACTGTTTAATTATTAACTCAGTATGAACTTAATAAATGTTATTAATCATTACCTAAATAACTAATGTAAAATAAACTTTCATTATATCCAGCTAGGAGAACCTTTGGGGAAGAAGGTTATAGGAGCAATTTTATTTTTAATTGTGACAGGGTCATAGGTTACATAGATAAAGGGAAACCCAGTGACATATTCTACCTAAATTTGTAAAATTTTTAAATTTCTCTTCTTACTCATATGCTTCATGACAAGTTGGTGAATATCGTACCAGTGTAGGGTAAATGGAAAATTTAGTTTTGAATGTCTAAATTGTATGGTTGTGATCAATCTGCTGGTTTACTGAACAGCATCCATGCAGACCATGTGGTTGGATGTTAAGTTGTTAGATGATAAAGTTCATGATCAATGATCACATGCAGGACGCCTATCCAAGCATGTTTCTGGCAGTGAACAAGCTCTTCTGGCTCAACCAGATGTCAGGGCTGAAGCACCACCTGCTTTACACAGAACTAGTGAGGACCACTCCTAAAACCTGGTCTTTGCCTGGCCTAAGAATGACCACTTGCAATAAAGTCCCTATCAAAGCAGTGGCCATCCAGGGCACTTTTGCACAAGACAAGAACAGTGCAAGACAGAGAAGTGTCGATGTGATCTGGGTAGCATAGGAAAGGTGAAAACACTTTCCTTAAGTATACCAGGTGGTACTGGTTGAATTGTATCCTCCCCAAATTCATAGGTTGACGTTTTAACTTCTGGTACCTCGGAATGTGGCCTTATTTAGATACAAGGTCACTGACATAATTAAAGATGCAGTCATACTGGAGCAGAGTGGGCCTCTAATCCAATAGGACCAGGATCCTTATTAAAACAGGAAATCTGGACCCAGAGACAGGCAGAGAGGGATAATGCTATGTGAAGAGGAAGGCAGAAATCAAAGTGATGCTTTTACAAGCCAAGGACCATCAAAGATGGCCAGCAAACTATCAGAAGCAAGAGACAGGCACAGGAAAGATTCCCCCTCAGAGCCTTCAAAAGGAACTGATCCTACCAACACCTCAATTTTGGACTTGTAGCCTCCAGAACTGTGAGATGATAAATTTCAGTTGACTAAGCCACCTGGTTTGTGGTACTTGGTTATGGCCACCCTAGCAAACTAACATGCCTGTTTTTTTAAGTTCCTTGGGAAGAATTAAAAACGAATTACCAGATCACCACTGTGTAGCTTTTGTAAGTATTATATTTATATAATGGATGGATATATAAAGAGAAATAAAAAGAAATAAGTAGAAACATTTTCATTACTCCTAATTGCTTTATTTCTACTCATATCAATTTGTCCATTCACCTATATAACTAATGTCCATCCATAATTAAGTTATCTACATAGAGAAAGATCAATCTCATTCCATGCCATGGGGTCCATCATTCTAGCTGCTTCTTGCTGTTGCTGCAGTTCTAGGCACTGTTAGAGACATTGGCATTCAAGATTCTGTTGACAGGGAGCGCCAGACCAATTAAATGGTGCCTCTAATGGAGTGGCACTTTGGCCACACTCTTCCTGGGGACGCCACAAATCAGACCAGGAAATTAAACGATGATCTCTTGAGCAACTACTATGTACAGGGCTCCGTGTGAGGCATTTGAGGGGCAATACACGCATTATTAATAATAATTAACTACTGAGCTGGACATCAACAGGAATACAGATATCATTTATGTAGCTTTTCATTACTTGTACCTTGGACAGAAGGAAGATCTTGGATTGTAAGGCCAAATTGCAGAACTCCCTTGAATTCATAATAGGCTCTATGTTGCCAAGATCTGGCAAAGCCTAACTAACTATAGCACTTCCCTCTTTCTCATAAAGGGGTTCATTCTCTAGATATTCCTACCTCCTGGCAGAAGGGAAGCCCTATCACCTAGAAACGTAATAGTCAGTAATGTCAAAGACAACTTCTTATTATTATAGGATCATAACATATCACTTACATATACCTCTTCCATTTATAGGATTGTATTTTATTTTTCTCATGATCTTTAAAAATGTGTGCTATTTATGTCTTTCATGTATATTATGGGAGAATATTTATTCATGGATTTTGGAATACTTTGGTTTTAAATGGTCAGTAAACTCACTTCCTACTTATTTGCTTATACTTCTTGTGTGTGACTTTCTGGACGATGTTTTATGGAACTCTTTGAATGCCACATCCACTCGCTTGTGTTCGAGAAGTCCACCGGGAATGACGGCTTCCCACATGTGCTGCTTTGACCTTACCGGATAGGAGGAACTCTGTTCCAGGATGGCCCTCTGAAGACCAGCTTTTCAAACAGCATCATTTGACCCCAATTAGAAGTGGCTTCCTGACTTATGCACCAATTAAACTACTTCTACTTCAGGAAATAATTTGCTTTATTCACGGGATGGGAAGAGCTGCCAAATAGCAATCACGGAGGCAGTGTGCAGACATGATGAAGGTTCTGGTGGAAAGAAGATTATTAAATCTGAGTCCTTCCATTAGAATCCGGTGTTTTGTTATCCATAGATTATCATGGAATGTTTTAAAACGACTAGGAGTCCCTTACATTGGACATATCTGTAATTAGCTTTATAAGAACTCTTACTACATATTCTGCGGCACCTGTAAGTACTATTTCTGCATTCCTTCACCAGGACAATCTAGTTTACCATACATTTATAAAACATATTTGAGATGGAGATGGAGTGCCTTGTATAAACACAGTGACTATTTTGGCCTTGGCAAAAGGTAGAGAACCCATTTGGATACATTTTAAGTCATGAAAATAAATGATGCTAGTTTGAAATACAATAACCAGGATAAAAAAATTTGCTGTAACCTACTCTCTTCCCCCAAAAGGCATATTCTCTTTTCTTTTGAAAAACCTACTGTCCCAATCTTTATTCTAGTCTAGAAAATGTCTTTACCCATTACAAAACCTTTATTACTCATCCAACACCGATCCCAGTTCAAATGCCCTTCGGATCCAGGACATCTTACATTCAGGAAAGGGGCTAGACAAGTCAAAGAAATAAGGCAAGTGACAGTGAGAGTTAGTGTGGGCAGCCAAAAGGGCATGAAGAGGACTGCAAGATTCTCTATAGCTGCCTTTTGCTCCAGGGAGTGTTACTGTGCAGGAATTCTGGCCCAGATTTTAATGTCAAACATGACAAGCACTTCGCAGGTTGAACAAAATACTTTTGAGGGCTCAGTATAGACTATGGGCTGTGGTTTGTGTCTTCTAATTAAGGTCTGGCACTAATTCTGTATAATGTCAAAAGATTATTCCTTTCCTTCAAGGATGTTATAGTCGTTGAATTAAGTGTGATAACGGAAATAAACAGGATTCTATGGAAACAGAAAAGGGGATCTTTGTCCTGAGCCAGGGCTTGGGCAGGGGGGTGGGTGGAGGTGGTAGGTGAAGGATAATCATCCTTATCTTGAATGATGATTGGGGGTGGTCAGACATGCAAGGGGGCGATACTCTAGGTGGATATGGAACAGAAGCCAAGGCGTGCAGGTGTATGAGCGAGGAAGCAAGGACTGTGGTTCTCCATGCCTGGGGTCCAGGAGACACAGTGAGAGATGGAAGCTGTGGATGAAGAGAAGCCACATCGTGAAGGACACAGGCAGATCCACTGCATGGAATTTGAGTTGAGCTGAAAGACTTAAAATGTTGCCATTTTTAGTTATTTATACTTTATTCAAGATCAAAAGAATGACTCTCTAGTTGTGGAATTTCATGAACTAGCAAGCTGGTTGAGATATATGTTTTTAAAACAGGATACAAAATATAAATTTTGATTTATTTATCATAATAAATCTATCATAATAAATAAATTTATCATAATAAATCTAGCTATGTTGATTTTTTTTAGTTTTATCAAGCTGTAATTGACATAAAATAAGCTTTACATTTGATTGGCATCATAAACTTTACAATTTGATTGGTTTTGATATAGGTGTACACCCGTGAAACTGTCACCTCAATCAAAATAAAGAACATGGACTTCCTTCACAAAAATATCTTCATGCCCCTTGGTCATCACTCCCTGCCCTTCTTCCTGCCCCATCGCATGCCTTGGCAACCACTGATATGTTTTTGGTTATTGTAGATTAATTTGCACGTAGAACTTTATACAAGTAGAATCATATAATATATACTCTCTATTGTCTGGGTTCTTTCATCTTGCCTAATTATTTTGTGATTTACTCATGTTGCTGTTAGCATGAAATAGCTCTTGTTTTGAGTTTTTCAGTTGTTTCACATCCTCACTAATACTTGCTATGGTTAGTCTTTTTAAATTTTACCCATTCCAATGAGTGTAGTGATGTGTCATTGTGGATTTATTCTGCATTTCACTAATAACCATGATGTTGAACAGTTTTCCCCACGCTTATCTACCAGCCATGTATTTGTTTAAATCATTTATCAATTTTTAATTGAATTTTTGTCTCCATATTGTGTTGTAGGAGTTCTTTATATGCCCTCATTACAACTCCTCTGTCAGAGATCTGATTCACAAGTATTTCCTCCCAGTCTGTGCCCTGCGTCTTCATTTTTGAATTAATATCTTTTGAAGAGCAAAATTTATCAAACCCTAGGTTGCTGAGATTTTCTCCTATGTTTTATCCTAAAAGTTGTATTGTTTAGCTATTATATTTAGGTATATAATTCATGTGGAATTTTTGTATATAATGTGAGACAATGGCTAAGGTTTTTTTGTTTAGGGTGTTGGTTTTGTTTTATTTTGCATATAGGTATCCAATTATTCCAACACTATTTGTTGAAAATATTTTTGTCTCCCAATTGTATTGTTTTGGCACCATTGTCGAAAATCAATTGACCATATATGAGTTGATATATTTCTAAATTCTCCATTCTGTTCTATAGCTCTATTTGCCTATCTTTATGCCAAGAGGACGCTGTATTAATACTATATCATCATAATAAGCCATAAGAACACATAGTATGAGTCCTCCAGCTTTGTTCTTTTCTTCAAAATTGTTTTGAGATCCTTTGCATTTTATATAAAATTTAAGAAAAGCCTATTAATTTTTATGAAATAAAACCTGCTGGGATTTTATTGGTATTGCATTAAATTTATAGGTTAATTTAAAAATTATTGAAACTTTATTGATTGTTCTGATTCACAAACATGGTATAACTCTCCAGTTGTTTGTCTTCTTTAATTTCTCTCAGCAATGCTTTGTCATTTATAGTGTACAAGTCTTATACATCTTTGATAACTTATCCATAATACTTTATACTTTTAAGCTATTGTATAATAATAACATAGCCATTTTTATAAACAAAATTTATTTGATCCCAGCCATGCCCATTCATTTATGTATTGTTTATGGCTACTTTTGTGTTACAGTGGTTGAGTTAAGTGACAGAGATTGTATAGCTTACAAAACCTATAATATTGTACAGAAAATTTTGTCAAGCTGTGCTTAATGGTTCAAAGGTATTTTGAAAAAATTTTTAAAAGAATAGTGTTAGTGCTTTATAATTTCTATATTTTTTAACTTTCAGGGTTCTTCTTTCACTTCTATACGTGTGGGCTGCCATCTAGAACTGATTTTGTAGTCTAAATAATGTGTTTTTTGTAGTCCAGTCTGCTAATGATGAA